CCTGTGTCTTAAGATGCCTTATCCTTACATCGCTTTCTGGCTCTCCCAAGTGGGTTTTTTCTTTCAGGTTTTCCCACTGAAATGGTTAGTATATAAAACTAACCCTTTGCAGGCTGAAAATTGTCTAAATAATATATAAAACCTTGGTTCCCGTCTCATATAAAATATATTTCATCTCCATCACAAAGACCAGGCATTTACGACTGCTAGGGAAGTCATCGTTTTTGCGGAACACACAAATACAATCTGTGGGCAAAATTCGGTCTTTTGACGATAAAGCAGATGGTACATATAGTTTCCACTATGCTATAAATACTTAAACTCGTGTTTATAAAGAATCCAACGTGGAGAAGAGCAAGACGTAGATTGGTGAACAATATTAAAATGGAAGTTAGAGGGATAGTATGGGATGGTATGGATTGGATCGATCTGGCTCAGGATAGGAACCAGAAAACACGTGTCACGTGTCAGGCTGAATGTTCATTGGTCCGTTACCAGCACTGGGCATGGCGCAGATCACATAGCACTTCTTACAGTACCTTTTCCGTTGTTGCTTGCGTGTATTTCGGGCATTGTCTAGAAATGTGTCATGTCACATAATGCTGGTTCTATAAATTCTCCGTCTGTTTAGTTCTGTTGTGTCTGTTCTCATTGCTTACGAGTCTGTTACTTCAAGATCGAAATGGCGGGGTTTGCGTACACCTGGTGTCATGGCTTTTAAGGCGGTTGTCCAGCAGGGACCTCTGATAACAGGATCTCTACTGATTTAGAAGCCGATAAGGACCCAATTAATTGGAGAGCTACTAATTCACTAATTGCAAGCAGTCAGAAACCCTTCAGCTGTTTCAATGACGTGTCTGGTATCTCGGAAGAGAACTTGCCTCTACATATGAACTCCAGGAAATCTCATTCAACCAGATAAAGTTGTATTCATATCAAGCAATATGAATCACTCGTTAAGATCGTTGTACTTGAGAAAATGTACCTCAGCGGATCACAGATATATCCTAGGCTCTCTTCCTAATTAATCCAATGAACAAGTGCCGTCTCATCCTTTCACCTGGTGGCGGACACAGTCTATCTTTCCGACGCGCTATGCTTTTTCAGAATATGGACAAAGTACAGGGACTTGGTAATCGCAGATTAAGGAACATCTTGTCACTGGAAAATAACCCAAAAATAAACACAGGGCTACATATTTCAGAGACAGCTGTGAGTATATTTAGAGGAACAAAGTGTATTCATCTGGGTGCAGGTGATTTGTCCATATAAGCGATCTCTGTGATTTGCAGTATTAATTTGCTTAAACTGTTTCTCCTTGTCTGAAAGATAACTATTTTGTACACGGAGAGTCAGCAAATGTGACACAGATGGATGTAGAACATAAATTGTGTGATATTCGAATGTGGAAAGGAAAAATTATTTCTCGACATATCCTCCACCAACACTGATACGCTTGTCCCAACGCTTTACCAGTGCGTCGAAACCCGCAGCTTAGAAGCCTCATGACTCTTGTCTCAGCCAGCTCCGTTTCAACGTGTTCATCAGCGAAACGTTTTCCACGTTTCTCGACCGAATTGTGAATCGATTTAAACGACAAACACTTCCAACTGTAAACAGGAAACATTTTTTATGAATATTCTTTACATTGAGTCCTTTTGCCCACAAAAAATAACACAACAGAACGCTGCCCTTCGGTAGAACACATCCCAGTTCGGTCGCCATTTTGACTACTTAGACCAAGGGTCTCCAAACTACGGCCCGCGGGCCACATCCGGCCCGCAATGTGGTTTTATCCGGCCCGCGAAAGAATTGTGCAGAAATGCGCCAATTGAACTAATTTTCCAATGAGTAGCGGTGAATGTGATTCCGAGCTTATGGACCTGACATATTGTGCAGTTCGATGGCTTAGCTGTGGAAAGGTTCTTTCGCGCTTCTTTCAGCTCAGGAATGACATTGATATATTTCTTACCGAGAAAAACCATCACGAACCACTTTTAACAGATACCGAGTGGCTTTGGAAATTAGCATTTTTTGCTGATCTGGTGAACCATATGAATTTAAAGTTGCAGGGTGAAAATAACTTAGTCTGTAATTTATTTGCACTTATCAAGGCATTCAGATGTTGATACTTCTGGAAAGCCAAGTGAAAAATTGTAACTTTGTTCATATGCTATACTGTGCAGAGTTGCATAAAAAGGGTGAAGCAGAATTTTCTCCCTCGTTTGCAAATTTAGTCATTTCAGATTTTAAAGAACAATTTCGGAAGCGATTTGCTGATTTGGATTCCAGTGCTCAGGAAATTAGATTGTTTCAAAATCCGTTTGACTGTGATGCTGCAGATGTCCCAAGTCAAATTCAAATGGAAATTATTGAACTTCAGGAAAATTATCATATTAAAGACAAATACAAGGAAGGAAATTTGATCGAATTTTATAAATTTCTGAACTCTGAGCAATTTCCAAATTTAAAGAAATTTGCTTGTAAATTTATCTCCATTTTTGGGACGACATATCTGTGTGAACAAACTTTTTCCCAGATGAAGTACATCAAGTCGAAATACAGGGCAAATTTATCCGATGAACATTTAAAGTCGCTACTTGTGATTAGCGTTTCAAAATTTGAACCTCAATTTAATCAGATTTTAAGAATGCAAAAAGAGTTCCATCATTCACATTAATTGTTTTATTATAATTTGTGATGAAAATATGAGCATTTGCTGCTACTGTCTGTTGTCATTAATATACGATAATTTATTCTCACGTACTTTGTATTTAGTTTATGAAATTCTGTGCTTTCAATAAAACTCATATACCTAGAGTTATTAATTTATCATTTTATCCGGCCCGTTGAAAGTGCTGAATTACCTAATGTGGCCCGCGTTTCGAAAAGTTTGGAGACCCCTGACTTAGACCATGAACATGCGCATGCGCGTCTTTTACCTAGACTGTTATGAAACTGGACTGTGCTGCTACCTATTGATACACGTAGAAACCTGTTACATCTATTACAGTATTTTGCTCATTTGTGACCTATTTACTGAGCTTCCATCGTACATTAAAGAAAAGAGAATGGTCTATTATTTTCCACTTGCCTGTTGGCTACATTATTGGTTATAAAATGAGTTTACATAAGCCACACAAGTCACAAAATTTTTTACAAAATTATTCTGTATATTATTCTTAGCCACTTTATGTATACCTTCTATATATGCCTTCTAAAAGAAGTTATCGAAGGAAAGATAGAGGGGCGGATAGAAGTGACAAGAAGACGTAAGAAGATGCTGGATGACCTTGGGGACAGAAGAGGATACTGTCATTTGAAGGAGAAAGCTCTAGATCGCATTAAGTGGAGGAATTGTTTTGGAAGAGACTGTGGACCTGTCGTCTTGACAGATTACTGACGATGATGATGATATAAACAAATTTTGGTTACATTCTAGTGTACGGGGCACTGGCCAGTGTCCAGCCCTTTCCCCACTGTTAAACTTTTCCTTTTTCTTAAATAGTTGTAACCCTCAGGTTGGGTTTAGAGTTACGTTTTTAAAAGTGAACTTTTACTGATAGTGAAGGAGGCTATTATTACCGTAGGGATTCTGAAAACCATAAATTTCACTTTCAGGTTTTTCCTTTGCTGCAAGCTATAGCCTCGGTCTCCGAAGAGACTTATATGAAATATGGACATATTTGATCATCATCATCATTATTGGGAAACAGCCCTTTTTGAGCCAAAGTCTTACTTTGAAGTTTCTGTCAGATTTGATCAGGTTTTCATATCTTTGGATTTCGAAACTACATTTCCTTTTACACAGCACGGTCGTCAAACTTTACGACGGCAGTAGCTTTATAGAAGTACATTATGCGCCAAAATATTCAGTACTGAAACTCGCGCATCTCGAACGCGCATGTGCGTTTGTCGACGGGGCATAGCTCCAGCCGCACGTGTTCCCAGTAGTGAAATAGTACACGTGTGACGATATGGTGTGCCATTTCAGCACACGGTATATTAGGCCCCTATATCATTGAGGATGAGGAAGGCAATGCTCTTACCGTCACCCAAGAACGCTACAAGGACATGGTGATCGGACCATTTCTTCAGGATTTGAGAAGGTTCTGTCGTGCAAGGGGTCTTCATATGAATAGACAGTGGTATCAACAGGACGTCTTTTCATTTCAGTACTGTATTTTTGGCGCAATCTGTATATGAATTTCTTTGAAGGCAGCGAAGAAACAGCAAGAAGTGGGCCAGGAGGTCGTGGTCTGTACATGTGGACACTGTGAGAGTTCTCAGTATGTCTGAGTAGTATGTAGGGAATGATCGTACAAGATACTCTTTGTGAGAAGCGAGAACTTCTCGGATAAATCTGAAATTCGTGCTTATTTAATTCTTGAAGTTAAGAATAACAATTTTGGAGACATACAACGAACGCCATTGTCGAGTGGTTAACACTCCTGGATCATATTGGGAATCTTCTGGGTTTAAAATCTTGCCCGGAGACACGCTATTATAGCTGAGGTTTTTCGTGGTTTAAGTCAGTACCAGACAAAAGCGGTGGTAATACCGCTAACCTCCACATCCTTTCCAATTCATTATCCACTGATTTTCGTTTTATTTCACCTATATATTCGGAGAAAATTGAAGTATCTTTAAATTAACCAAAAGGAAAATATAACAAAGGCTTAAAGACATGTAGACGTCATAGGATTTTCCTGGCACTCTGCGTGTGGAGAGAACGCCGTATTCATTTAACTCTTTAAATCCCAGTGGCTATTACATACACCACATAATGAAGCTTCACATTCTGTCCACAAAGTGCATTTGTTTATTTGTATGGCTGTCACAATAAATAGCGAACGATTCCCCGAACAACCGTAACCTGTTCCTTTCTTGTTGTAGCTGAGACGTATTGTGTTTCCTATGAGGTACGAACTGAATTTTAATATAGCATTCAAGATAAAATCGGTCTTTAGAGGGATAATTTTGTTCTTTGTCTGTTTCAGGAACTGGAAGAGGTTTACTCTGACCTGTGCTCTACACTATCAGAGTCAGTGCTTCAAGGAGCGGAGATCATCTCCACAAGGGTGAGTGAGCACAGCCCTGCACTGACACCGTATCAGGGTCCTCTATATTATTACTCATATGCCAGCTCAGTAGAACAATTAACTCCTCTCAGGTTCGTGTAACGGCAATGAATTACGCAAGCAGAAACTGCATGTTGGGAGCTATTCCGCTCTCCAATCACAACACAGCTGCTAACGACACTTCACAAAATTCTCCAAACAAGCAATGAGTAATATGGTTTATCTTCTTCTTCTTCTTCTATGGCGCAACAGCCCGATGTCGGCCCTTGGCCTCCCTTATGAAGCCCCTCCATTCCTCTCTATCCTGCGCTGCTCTCTTCCAGTTCCTTACGCCCATTACCTTCTTTGCATCTTCTTCCACCGCATCAATCCATCTAGTTTTTGGTTTCCCAGCACGTCTTCTACCATCTATTGTACTGTATAATATTTTCTTTGGGATACCCTCCTTATCCATTCTCTGTACATGCCCAGCCCATTTCAATCTTTAAGCTTTATCGTCACTGAGATCTCTGGCTCCTTATATAATTTGTATAACTCTTTATTATATCTTATTCTCAATATCCCATTCTCTTTTATTGGTCCATAAATTCGTCTTAGGATTTTCCTCTCGAAAAAATTGATGACTGATTCCTCTTTCTTGTTTAGCAAGCCCCTCCACTACGTCAAAGTAGAGACACCATCGGGGGAAATATTGTTTATCAGTTGTTGATATAATATGACGAGCGTAGCCGAATTACGTCCCCGAATCCGATGCGCTGAAGAAATGTATCTTGCCGGAACGTCGCTTCATCTCCCAGAAGGACCTGAAATGACGATGTGTCCCCTTCAAGAGAAGAAATGTTCTGCAGTTGGCTGATTTTGACTAGCTAAAGTCATTATGCAATCGGCATAAGCCAGTCACGTAACGAGTCTTGAGAACAAAGCAGTTTCCAGAGATAGAACTCGGACCTCAAACATGGAAGCAGTTATCTTCCAGAACAGAGGGTTTAGCTGTACCCTTCCGCAGATAAACTGTGACAGCTACACATGTGAAGACAAATTCACGTCTCCAGGAAGCTACAGAGTTGCCTCCTGTAGAGACATTGTCTGGCTGTAACTCATCCGTTAAGAAATGAGTAAAGGGGATAATAAACGTCCACGGAAAATGTAAGAGGTTTGAGCTCTCATCAGTGTTCTAGCGACCTTCCGCGCTCGGCTGCAATGGTACACAGATCTGCCGTCTTGTCTATACCTAGACAGATAGAGAGAGATATGTAGAAACAGAGACAGCGAAGAAGAGAGAGAAAGGGAGCAAGATGGTTATAGAATTAGGGAGAGACAGAGAGAGATAAAGACAAATGTGGGGGAATGAAGAGAGAAAGGGAGATAGATATAGATTAAGATAAAGCAGGAAGAAGCGAGAGGAAGGGAGAGAGATATAGAATAGGGGGGAAGGAGATAGAAGGGCGGCGGGAGGCGTAGAAAGAGACGCAACCCTGCACAGCAACGTCCAGTTACGATTTAACTACGTGTTTTACGCAGCTCTTGTAGTAATGTTTAGTTTGCGGTTCTTATTGAACCATTCACACTGTCACCGTGAAACAGCCAACATGTGGCCAACATACTGGTGTAAGTTCGTTCCCTGTATTGTTCGCACCAATTATCAATGGAATTAACCTTTACGGTTGAAAATGTAGTAGAATCTAAGTCAAAATTCTTCATTCTTCAAGTTGTAGTGTTTCATTAGACTAACTTGTGTTACTGTTATAAATAATTAAAGGTATTCCTGTAACAGGCCATGGAGACCCATAGGGTTGTAAAATGTCGAGGCTCCCACATTTTCTAGACCAGCCGTGTCAAACATGCGGCCCCCATAGCCATAAAGTGCGGCCCCTGAACTTTTAGAGCTAATTGATATTAAAATCAATATTAAAATTTTAGTAGAAATATTTTTTGTAAAGACAATTTTCCAACAGACCAGAAGACAAGAAGTTTCACGCAGACATAAATTAGCAGGCTGCAGGAAATTCAATGTTTTGCTATTTCTAACATAATTTCTTGTGTAATCTCTCTTTTTACCTATTGAAAAGCTGTTTGATATTTGTCAGAAATGGCATTCTCTTACTTTTTAAAACTGTAAGATATATGACCTTAGATAATTATATTGAAATTATTCCTAAATAATAAATAGAATTAAATTTCCGTGTATCAAAATCTAATGTATATTTCTATTTTGATGTGCGGCCTTGGACTATTATTTATAGGGCTGAGGTGTCCCTCTGTACAACTTCAGTTTGACATGCCTGTTCTAGACAATCGGCTCACAAATGGCGGTGAGGCTGTCAGGCTTATGCGCCAACCGACCACGCTTTACCCCCCAGAAATATTCCTGGTGCTCATTTCTGTTAGAGGTTTAGTCGACTCCAGGGTCATAGTGCGGCTGGAAGGATTAGCTCAATTGAAACATCCAGTGACCTCGTTGGAAATCGAACCCACAACCTTCCAGCTTGTAGCATAGTGTTACTGCTGTCGCTGATACAGCCCACTGTTCCGTATTTGATTCAGCTCTTCTTCTCGAAAACAACAAAACTGCTTTATGAGCCCATAACTTTTAGGCACTAAAGTGGCCAGTTTTCATGTCTAATTCTGTGGAACTGAATCCTTGTGAGAAGCTAATTGTCGCTCGGATAGCCCAGAAATTCCCCCTTTTTGTGCCACCGGAAGATTGATTGCCGTGTTCGTAAATGCTAGCCCCCGGTCTGTCTTTAGCCAGAAGAATCCCTTCCTAACTCCACCATAATATTTCTTTAAGATCCCAGTAGCTACTGTCCTCTCATGTACGCCTACATCAACAAAGAGGTGACTTTCCTTCAGATGTTTCAAATAAAACTTTCTCAATTCTCCTTTGCGGACGGAGCATCCCACTCGTTTCATCCATCTTGATTTAATCATCCTAATCATATTTGGTAACGTAAAGTTGGTGAAGTTGTCACTTTGTTTGAGTATTTTTTATTGCTAGTTGGGTGGGACTAAGTCCCTTGTACTGCCGGTCACAGTAGCCGAGCGGTCTAAGGCATGCACTGTCTTCGCTCGCTCGGATGCCGGGATCGTGGGTTCCAATCCCACTCAGGGCATGGATGTTTGTGTGCGTTTTTCTGTGTTTGTCTACAGGTAGAGCCTTGCGACGAGCTGATCACTCGCCCAAGGAATCCTACCGTCTGTGTAAGATCTAGAAAAACCGAAGTGAACGGAAGTTCATGGAGGTAGGCCTAGGCCCACTGGGGCTGTAGTGCCAAGGGGGGGAAAAAAAAGTCCCTTGTACTGCGGCCACTTCTGGCCTATTGTATCAGCTCAAGATGATAGGTGAGGGTGATTATGAAGAATTTGGCGGAATGAAGATTGGCAAAGGAAACCGAAGTACTCAGAGTAAATCTGCCCCAGCGCCACTTTGTCCACCACAAATCCCACTTGACCAGACCCGGGATCGAATCCGGGCCGCCGCGGTGAGAAGCCAGCGACTAACCGCTTGAGCTATGGCGCGGCCCTGTGTTTAATTAACTAAGTACCATACCATGAAGACATAAGGGGGAGTGGAGGTGCAGTTCCACTATCATTTGGTGGAGTGAGTCCAGCTTCATACCCTGGCCGTTTTTCACCTCGGAGGAACCGCGGGACTTGTACAGAATCAAAATAGTCGTCCAGTTGATCATACAACTTTCGTCACCTTCCTGCTAGGACCAAAATTTTGCATAGCACTTTTTAATGCCGGCCTCGTCTGTTCAAATTTAAAATTCGGGCATGTAGACTGTCCTGTAGAAAACAGACAATACTCAAACTACGCATTTCATCTTGAGAAAATAGCATATATGTTATGTAAGTATATTGCAGTTATGAGTTCAGCCTAGTGCGGTATTAAATTACTTTTCATTACAAACTCTACTGTGTTTCTATTGCTTTATGTTTCGATAGTGTGTGGCTTCTGAATTCCGGGCAGCGTTATCTCCCCCCCCCCATTTTTTTTTATGATTCGTTAAAGATCTATGTTGTTATCAAGCTGTTTCTCCCTTCGTTGTATATTGAGGCACTGACTGACTGTAGCAAAAACCTTACTGTGCCTAATGCTCCTCTGGCTGCAATTTTATTGTACACTTGTAGCTATTTTTTTATTATATTCGCTTTATATTTACCTGGCGCAAAATAATGCCGATGAATGTTGTAGATAAAATATCTGAAGCTTTCGTGGCGTCTGAAAACATTGGCACCCCTGCGGGAAATCAACCGTCTCAGTGTTGAGTTAGTGTCCGAAGTTTCAGAGATTCCGCATCACTCTGTAGTATAATACAGTTTACGGACTCGACAGTCATCATATAAACTCCTGATGATGGAGAAGGGAACTGTCTCCGAAACGTTGTAGAATGACTCCTTGCCGACACAGCTGTTCGCCAAAGATTATTTCTTTGGAAACGATACAGAATGTAACCATTTATATAAAACAAACTCCGTGTCCTGAAGTCGGCAAACGAACTATACCAACCGAGCGACCGCCGCTTGTCAGTGAAGTTATTGCCAACTTTATATGTTGTTTAAAAAAGTGCAGTATTACTTTTCGGAAGATTTTATGCTCTCAAAGCGGTAGTTATAAAAAATATTACCTTTTTGGACATAACGTCTTGTAGTCCGTTGAAAGTCAGTGAACGTTTCGGAGGAACATAATCGTGTCCATCTTCAAGGTCGAATAAGCCGAACAATATACCAGCGTAGAAGTAGGTGTCAAGCCTGAATCTCCACCTTTTCGACTCATTTGACCCTGAAGATGGAAACGATATGATCCTCCGAAACGTTTGTTGTCTTTCGACGGACTACACGGCGTTATGACACAGACGACAGTAGTACTCTTTACATTACTTTTTGTTTACGTGGTATTTATGTTTCCATTATTGAAACCCAATAAACAAGTAATTTATTTTTAATCTCAGTTTCATACTGTTCGGAGTTCTATTCGTTAGAATTAAAAAAAAAAA